GCCACCAAGGAAAGACGTGCTCATGACCTGGTCGACGTCGTCGCAGTAGGCGAGCGTGACGAACTTGACGTCGCTCAGATGCGCAGTGAGATGCGCTCGCAACGGCTGCACGACGTCGCGGCAAAAGGCGCGGTGCGCGTCGCTGTTTGTTACGAGCGCCATCTGAGCGCCGCTGCGCCCGCTTCGGAACGCATTGATGTGCAGCCCGTGGGCGGTGATGAATGCGCGCCAGTTGGCCGAAATCTCGTTGTACTCGCCGTACGAGCACTCGTCTTGCCGCGCGTAGTCGATCTCGACGGTGCCAGCCGTCGCGCAGAAGGCGCAACTACCGTCCTCGGACGCGTTGTACCAGTGCCATGCAACGCCGTTGGGGACACCCATCCCGTTCTCACGAAACTCGATTCCGTCGCAGTTGAAAATCTTGACCAAATCGTCACGACCCCACGTCGTCGACGTCGGGTCCACGCGGCAGCTTGGCGCAAACAGCGTCGGGCGTACGTCGTAGATGTCAAATTGGTGGATGCCGCCGGCCTGCCGAAAGTGGTGGTGTGAGATGGGCGCGACGATCTCGGCCATCTTGTGGCGCACGGCAAGAGCGCGATACAAAGCCTTGTGGTCCTTGACACTGGCCTTGGCGCGCGCCACGAGCTCGTCGCGGCAAAGGTTGGCTTCGTGGTCGACGTAGCCGTTGGTGACGTGCTTGCCGGCGAGGCTCGCAACGAGGTAGTAGTACGGATCTCCCCTCGAGCCGCGAACCTCGTAGAGCTTTGGGCATACGTCGAGGCAGCTGGGGCAAAACCCAAAGATGGCGACGACGAGCGACGGGTTCGTGAACACTGCGCTGGCACTGCACGCACGGTCGAACGAGGAGGAAGGTGCAGAGTGGTTTGGGGAGAACATGATGATTCGGAAGCAGTCAATTGAAGAATGTATTGCCGGACTCTGAGAATGTGACGGCCAATCGTTTGCACGAACCGGTGTTGAAACATGTTGTCTCGATTCCACCGGCTAAAGAAGACCATCATTATGTTTGTTGCAAATTAAGAGTGGGACTGTGGGACAACGGTCTCGAAACGGGAGATGCGTGCGCTTGTGGCCGATGAATTTCACGGGCGTTTGGAGAGAGGCAGTCTTATACGTCAAAACCGAGGTGCGCGTTGACATGATTAGCCAGTCTCGACGGGGGCTGCTCGGGCACGGTTGGGAGACCGGATTTTGTGCCTTGGGCAGTTGAAACCACTTGGTGGTCCACATTGAGTTTTCGCAAAATGGGGCTCGACCCGGTTTGAATAAAACAACCACGCAGGTGATGTGAGGTCAAAAATGTACTATTTAGCTTACAACACATCGACGAACCCAAAGAAGACGCCGATGAGGTACCCGTCGGGCGACACGCCACCGAGGAACGACGTGCTCACGATTTGGTCACAGTCGTTGCAGTAGTTGCATGTGACAATCTTGACGTCACTCAAATGCGCCGTGAGATGCGCGCGCAACGGCTGCATGACGTTACTGCAAAAGGCGCGGTGGGCCTCGCTGTTTTGAACCAGCGCCTCGTGCGCGTACGCGCGCCACGACCGGAACGCATTGATGTGCAGACCGTGGGCGTCAATGAAAGCGCGCCAGTTGTCTGAGATCTCGTTATGGTGCTCGCCATACCCAAACTCGTCCTGCAGCCCGTAATCGATCGCGACGGTGCCAGCGGTGGCGCAGAACGCGCAGGTACCGTCGTCCGACAAGTTGTACCAGTGCCACCCAACGCCGTTGGGAACGCCAAAGCCATTG